ATAGAATTGGAAAACAAGATGGTTCGTTTTGTTTAGACATGAACTCAAGTATTATAAGTCAAAAGGGGTAAGTTAATGTTCAAACACTAAAAGCATGAAAGAGCAAACAACAACAAATTTTCAACAACAAATTTTCCTCCCCTCTCATTGGTAGAGAGTCAACCATGTGACATGATAGTGCTCAAATTGGAGGGCTACTATCAGTGTATGGAGCACGCTGCACGCTGCTGAAAATGTTGTTGTTGAATAATAAAAACAATAGAGCAGTTAAAATCTTGGACATTAGCTGTGATAGTTGCCCTTGGAAATTCATTTTTCAGAACATTCAGTTTCTGCGGGCAACTATCACAGAATAATGCCCTAGATTTAACTACTCAGACATACCGTCTAGACCAAGGTCTACTTCTACTTAATGATAGATAAACAGTCTTAAAGTGAACAACAACAAAAAGTGAAAATCGAGGAGTTTTTAGACTCTGTGTATCATGAGTTGAGGTGGATTTTTGGAGTTTGATTCAAGGTCGACTTATACATCGTCAAACAGTACTCTATTGTTTAAATAGTGCTAAATGGTAAAATATAGTGTAGGTTAGACAGTAGAAAACAAAGGAATTGACAAGCAATTGTGTATAAATATTATTATTTCGTCTTGCCCCAATGCCATCTCGCCCCCACTATGCCATCTTGCCCCCTATTGATATCACTTTCAATGTCATGATTGAGGTGAGTGAGATGGCAATGGTGTGAGATGACGGGAATTCCTGGCAGACATGCTCATACTACTACTATAGCACTTTTCAATGACTAATAGTTGTCTTATTAAATTCAATGTGATTCAATTATTTCCAAAGGATAAAGAACCAATTAGAGTGCTTGACCTAGAAAATTGTCATGAGGTTGCTAAAGAGGACTCAGTTGGAAAAGCGAATTGTTTCAGGTGGGTGAAAGGTTATCATGAATATTAAACTATATGATAAATAGGAACAACTCGCTTATAGACCCCTTGCATGTGACGTCAAAGCAGCTTCATCTGGAGGACAAAACAAAAGATTTTTGCCCTCTTGGGAACTAGAATCTATTCATTTGTCCCCCATTCCTTAGTGCATGAAACAAACAGCTTTTATTAATCTGTTTTATCTTTCATAATCTATCCTTTGAAACTCACAAATTTGTTCAATTCATCAAGTCAGTTTCGCATGTTCTGGTCGATTGTTGTTAAATAATGTTGTATTTATTTATCTTGATAAAAATAATTGCAGGATAGTGATGCCATCAAGAACATTTTATTGTTTCGCCAATTCATCTCAAGAAGCTGAGGAGTGGATCACAATGTTGAAATGGAAATTGGTGAGTGTTTTGAGGTCCTAGCTGGGGAAATCATAAACCTCTATTCTACTTTTTCTTACTACACATTTGCATTTAGGTATTTGTGGGTGAGATACCCATGCAAAAAGGGAAGGGAGGTCTCCCCCCTTCCCCCCCAAAAAAAGAGATTACCGGTATCTATAATAACGCACACAGCAAGTTATAGTGACTATAAATTGAATGTTTACATAGACTCACATACATTCTCTTATACCAAGTAATAAGCTTGGGCTACCCATGGTTAACTGACTGACTAACATAGCAATAATGTCTGGTTAACTGACTGACTAAGATAGAAACAATGTCGGGTTAACTGATAGTCTAAGATAGCAATATTGTCTGGTTAACTGATAGTCTGAGATAGCAATAATGTCTGGTTAACTGATAGTCTAAGACAGCAATAATGTCTGGTTAACTGATTGACTAAGATAGAAACAATGTCGGGTTAACTGATAGTCTAAGACAGCAATAATGTCTGGTTAACTGATAGTCTAAGATAGCAATAATGTCTGGTTAACTGATA